AATTGAAAGCTAATTTGTTGCCTAATGATAGACAAAAATGCATCGCCGATTATGACCATGCCATGCCAAGTGCCAACGGTATGGCACTTGAATCACTTTAATCACAAATATGGCTTCTCTAAGTATCCGCCATACTTATTCAAACATGTCATATTTGTCACTAATCCATTGGTACAAGTATGGCGGTCCGTTGTTAGGATCCCGTTGGATCATTTACATGAAAAGATGCAATGCTTTATCGATAGGACATCTTTGTCATGCTAAAACTATTTTTCTTAAAACATTCACGGAATCATTGGTAAGTGCCGGAAAATAATTGTACAAACTTAGCTTTTATAAAAAATGATTTAGCGGCAACATTTTATGACAAATTGGCGACAATATAATTTGCAGCACGGCACATTTACCTGTTACTTGTGCTGCACTTGTATGTTAAAACTTTAGAGGTTAATTTCTCACGTTCGAGACATCCAATCGATGTGGCACATAAAGGCTAGTCTTGTTATTATCGATTGAAAAAATATCAAGTGTATACACGTAGAAGACTTTGAAATATTTGAATCGGTACCGTGGGTACATAGGGATGCCGAAATGGCATGATCATAATCGGGGATGAAATATTTTTGCTATCATTTGACAAAAATTACCTTTGACTCGTAATCCAAGAGGGCATAAAAAATGGCACGTTGTATCAATCACTATGGCGGACCGTTTGAGACGCCCCATCGGTATGGCATACAACACTTCACACTTTGGATATCTAATGAACAGTATACAACAAGAAATAGCTATGTACTCGTTCCCCAAAGGGGGTTCAAGTTAAATGAGAAGCATAAGCGTGCGCAGCCTAGAACAAGAGGGGGTAACTACATTTCTGAAACTACTTTTCCATCGGACCTTTATTTTTATATACGACATATTTTACTTGCAAACAGATGAAATGTACTACAACGAAAATTAAATTATTTCTGTAAGGATAAAATTAGTAAATGGTATTGATTTTCTATTGAACCATTTACAGGGTTCTCAGGAGGAGTGGAGAGCATCTTCCCCCCAAAAAAGGGTTAAATAATGAAAAATCAAGGATTGAACTTATTTAAGAAATAAAATGAATTACATAAGGCAACGGAGCCCCTTTCAAATTTTTCCGTGATGGCCCCCCCCCCCCCCACGCATGTGATGATGTTTTGCTCCTGAAGGGTTAGGTTTGCACCTAACCGAACACGTAACATTGTACATCTTATGAGCCTTTACTGGCGACGATCGGTGTTGAGGGATGGGTGAAGGGAGATGGCTAACACGGGCGGTTCATTTTTAAGGCAGCACCCAGTGGGGTGAAGACAGAAAAGACAATCGTCTTGAAACGCTGCGCCGATATTGGCAAATCATTCTCTGCCTCTTTTACATAAAGAAGCAACAGTCCCGTGGTTTCGAATTCCGAGATGCTGATCAAGTGCTACCATTGGCAAGCGAAGGCCTTGGACTGCCTCTGCCATTGTCACAGCCTCCTCCTCCGATGCCGTCGGAGTCGGTTTCGTCGTACCCATTGCAGCCTCTTTGGCATCCACCCCACCCCACTCCGCCACCGCTTCCCGCCGTTGTCTGCCCCTGTATTCTGTCCGCTTCGACATCCTTCACAAGCAACTGAGCAACACAACTTTCAACTGTCCCCCTTCCACTCAATTCAGTCCCGTCCTTTCATTTTTTACTGAATTAAACTCAAATTTTTTTTAAACGAACGATGGTATAAGTTTATAAATTCGTTCTCAATGTATATTTGTTATAAAAACGAAGTAATTCAAATTATTAAGTAGATTGGATAGTATTTTGAAATATAGTAGGGAGGATTGAACTTGTTAACCATTGTCTTCAGTTGATCAAGGAGGTGAAATTAAAATTAAAACAACTTATAATTCTATGAAGAAAGTACTTGTGAAGTGCATTTGTTAATTAAAAAACTTGCAATTCATTTGCCATAAAATTACCGTGCTCAATTTGTCATGGATATTTCGGCCCAATTTTTAAAAACCTATTAGAATATTGAACCATTCGTTATTACTGTAAACTCTTGAAGAATCTATTTAAAAGAAACAAAATTGTTTGCATATTAAGTCAAATAGCATTGCGTAATTATTGTAGTATATTTTTATCAGGTAATTATTTCTTGATAGGGATCAGAGTCTTTCCGGCGGAGGAAATTGATGGAATGCTTACCCTTCGGGCGATCCTGTGGGGACTGCGAAATATATTGAACGGGTTTTGCGCTGTGACAGTATGATAAGAGAACGTTTGAGAATTTCCTAATAATGAAGAGTTATGTAATACGGGTCCACTCACTGATGGAATCGGGGGTTGTGGAAGAAATATATTTATGCGCAGTTGATGCGTAATTCTGTTGTGACGACACTGCTTGACACATGACTTAACGTCACGTTACTAAGGTGGTGAATGCGGACGAATACTTTTCGTGAAACATCATCTTTTAGCACAAATTCAAATAAGGTGTATTATTATTAGAAATTAGTTTTAAAATAGTAATGTATAAGTAAGGAAACGCATTTGTAAATTCCTTGAGCAACACGACTGTTTATAATTGTTTGATTTTCTTGGTGCTATTTTATGTACCATTACACCAGTGACGTCACACTCAGCTGTTTTGGTTGCTATATGCCATTTTGTCATTGTTTGGGAACAAGTCTTTGCTGAACTGTGCTGGTATTAGGCAGTGTAGTTTGCGCCGTTCGGTCAGCTTAAGATGAAGTTTCAGTACAAGGAGGAACATCCTTTTGAGAAGCGGAAAGCCGAAGGAGAAAAAATTAGGAGGAAATACCCTGATCGAGTTCCTGTAAGTAAAGTTGGTGCGAAGCAAAAATCTTTACCAGTCCCGAGAGTTTTAATGTGACGTTTCTCCCGTCGCAAGTTTCTATCGTATAATGGTATTAATGTGCTATATTTTTGGCCCTCTATAGGTTGTATTGATTTATGTACCTGGAAATGTCATTTAATTATATTTTTTTTTAGCTTCTGTGGATCCATTATGTAATTGCAGTTTTCAAATTTTTTCGAGAAAAGTCACGTCAGTCTGAAACTTGAGATCAAAATCAGTAACTTTGTGCGCTATTTTACCAGATTGTGTATAAAATAATTTCTCTTTGTTTTGTTGGAAGATTAATATGATATACTGATTTGCCTTTGTTTACGATCGCTCCCGAGAGAAATGTAAGGTTACCGTTCATCCTGTTGTGCAACATTTCAATGTTGTCAGTTTTTCTATATTTGTAACGGTTTTCGAATTTTTAAATTAAAAACAATGATAATGGGAGTGACAATGAAAAGTGATTTTGTTGTCTTTTGTTTTGAGTGTTCATTAATCCTCTTAATGTCATGCAAGACCCCCAAGTGATATTTCAATCCTATTCATTCTGTGTTATGATACACAGATCAGTATGGACGCTTATGTATCTTACCAGAAAGTACTAAAATTACAAGGAAGGCAAGATGCTGAAAGAAAGCTTTCAAACAGAAGATTGTCAATCAATTTAGAGAGGAAAATGAAAAGTACTGAAGATGGACATTTTAGTGTGTGTGCTGAGTGCATGTGTCATTTCTTTGAATAAGCTGTGCAGTTTTTTGTTAAAAGTACTTAGTGTAATCTGAAACATTTGAAAGATTAATTCTGTGAAGTAGTTGCACTGGACATTGTTAGTGTTGATCTTCAATTTTTTTGCTATGCTTCCAAAGAATTTAAACCTTTTTTAAGTAAATACCTTTCTTTGTAGGTGATTGTGGAAAAGGCACCAAAAGCAAGAATTGGTGATTTGGATAAAAAGAAGTATTTGGTTCCTTCTGACCTGACTGTTGGACAGTTTTACTTCCTCATTCGAAAGAGAATTCACTTGCGCCCTGAAGATGCTTTGTTCTTCTTTGTGAATAATGTCATTCCTCCAACAAGTGCCACTATGGGATCACTGTATCAGGTTAATAGAAATACGATTCTAATTGGTTTGAAGTGTTGGTTTGTGAATTTTCAAGTTATTGAATAGTTAGTATGGAAATTTAAGCATGTATTTCCAGATAATGAATTGTGTGTAGCTGTAAGTTTGCTGAATTTCTCCTTGGATATCTTCTGAGGATAATTTTATGTGAACAGCAAAAGTAGTACTTTTTAATTACAACTAGGAATTATTTTTAATCTTGATATAAGTATATATATTAGTGTATATTAGGCTTAACCAACACAGCCTTGACCATTTCTGCTTCAGGCTAGATTGGCAAAAGTAAAGTGCTCTTTAGTAGATATCGATATTAATGGCTGGATTAAAAATATTAAATATTTTGTAAAAATGTATAACAAATTACCATTATAAATAGCAAATGGTTGTATTGTCCCCCCCTATATACAGACAGTGCTAGTAATCTCTCTTCAATTCCACTTGCTCTTGTCTCAATTTAAACTGAGATTGTGCTCTTTCTTCAGTTATGTGGGTTTCGTAAGAATAAAGCAATTTTTAAAATATTTTTACCATTATATTTTTATGACATTAAATTTTGAAAATTCAATTGAGTGGAAGTTGGCTCATCTTAGTGTACAGAAAAAATTTCCATTTATACAGAAATACATTGACAGCTGCATAACACTTTGTCATTAGTATAGCAGTGTGGATGGTGATCATTGTTTCTGTAGAGTTGCAAACTTTTTAGCTCAGACTTTGTCATGGATTTGAAAGATTTCTATTTTGGTGGATTTTTTTCATGGAGAAAATGTATGCAGTAAAAAAATTGTTGAAAAACTGAAAGTTTTGGAAAATTACAAGCGCAATGTGCAAGAAAACTGAAATGTAATTGTATGGTTAGCAACAATTTTCTCCAAATCATTGTTGCAAAGAATCGAAGCTTACGTTTAATGTATTAAGTATTTCATTCTTGTTTTCTTTTTCAGTGTTTGATGTTTTATAGTCATATTTACAATAGTTACGTGTATTTTTTTTGTTTATTTGCAGGAACACCATGAAGAAGATTCATTTCTGTTCATTGCATACAGTGATGAAAATGTCTATGGAAAATAAAGAGGTACCACGATCCTGAAAAACTTTTTATTTCATTGCGTACTAAGATAACTTAAGTAAAGCTTTCAGTCTGATACTTAAATCAATTCAAAATATTTTACATTGTTTGCAGTTGCAGGGTTTGGAAATATGTCTTGTATTGAAATCGTGCATTATGTTGATCTGAATTTCGTATAGGAAGCTGGTGGGGACGACCTTAAATTACCTATTATATTAATGATAGTAAATAAGGCAATAACTTTGCCAAAATAACTTTCTCTTCAGAAAGTGTTTACTTCTAAACACCATTATTATGTACATAGCTAAATAAAATTCTTGTAAATGTAGTTTGTGTTTATTTTATTGTGGTTTGCATGTTTTCCATAACTACACTTGATTAAAATATGATATTGTGTAGTACTTTGTTCCATTACCGAATACAAAGCTTCTAGTGGAAACAAGGGAGAACTGGGAGAAGAGAAAATTATGTAGAATAATAAAATGTGTGATAACTGAAATAAGGTTTACAATGAAATGAAAAATGTTTTAGAACTTTACCATTAATATGAAGAAGGAAATTGTGTGTTTTGTTAACACTATTTGGGAATTAATTCCGAGTGTATCATTTCCAATTATTTATAAAAGGCTATTAGAATTATTAGTTTGCTACGATTTTATAAATAAATGCTTCTGCTGAGATCTTGCGTGGCACACACATTTTGAATTTCCCAAGGAAAATGAATTACTAAAATTCATATCCATCTAATCTATATTCAGTTCTTAAATGAAAATTTAAAGTTTTAAATTAAGTATTGGAGCAGGATGAGCTTAAATACAATGTTTGTTTTTTTTAAATTGTTTTAGCGCATTATTTTGAATTAACATCAGTGATGCTTCATAGATAATTTGGATTCTCCGTCTCCTGCAGGTGGGAAACACATTGGCAATTGATCTTGTGACATTAAATTGATGTCCAAGCGAAGTCCTCCAGAAGTGGAATATACTGTTAACAATATACTTTTCATATACACAAATGCATATATAGAATAGAGTATCTTTCTCTTAAATGCTAAGCTTGAAATAAAACTTCTAAAAATCCTAATTATGGGGTAGAAAAACAATACCTGTGTGCCAATGAGTCATGAAAATCTAATTTTCAGTGTCTATAATGCATTGTAATAGTTACGCACAACGTGCTGCGGATTGTACCTGCACACTACATTTGGTTTAATTCAATATATTTGTTACACATAAATAAATTTTCTCTCTCTGCACTCCTTTTCCATAAAACTTCAGCTTTGGCAAATCTCGCACTCCTCTGGACGTGAAATGCTTAAAAAGGAGTACAAAGTTCACTCTTCACATAGCATACAGATTTAGATCCTGCTTTTCATTTTAAGTTAAAAATATAAAATGCAATAAGGTATCTACGTCTTATGATACTTGTTTAGTGGTTATCGCAATGTTCATATATTTTCATTGAAATTTAATATAGTAATAAAAGAAACCCGAGTAAATTGTTTTTGAAATGAAGCTTCATAAGCTAGTTGGGAGGATTTTGTGAGAATCCTGCTTTTGAAATATCAATTTGATTTTCTGAAGGCAGTCTTATTATTTGGATTTAGAAGAGTAATTAGTATGTATCAATTGAATTTTCTTTTCATTAGTGGTAGGGTGGTGCTTGAATTAGTCAATTGTGAAAGATTTATTTATTCTTCAATTTAGGTTTTAATTATGAAACCTTTTTATTTATTGCATTGCAAAATCAATAAATATATAGCGAGTAGTTGTATTCTTTCAGAAATTAGACAATTTATTTAAATTTTTTTAGTTTTCAAGACAGTTATATACAGTGGATCTTCATACAATGGAATTTACTGCAAGAAGTACAAAAATTGTATCAATATACAATCTATGAAATTTACATACTCAGGAGTGTGGAAATGATAATCTGTACTTTAATGATTGGAGTAAAAATGCCTCTCAAACATATTTTTGGTTCAATTGTGTGACTGAAGCTAGAAATGGATAATTCAACAGCTTTTTAACATTTTATAAGTAGATAAGGTATGCTATATATCATGATTGTAACTAATTCAACTGAGCAGACTGAAGTTTCATTTTGTAAAAAATTGTCAATTCTGACCAAGTAAAGCAATGTATATTGGATTCTCTTAAGAAATTATAATATTAATATTAGGATAAATAGATTACAGAAAACATTAAAAGATGGCTAACTTTAATAGAATAGGTAGACCCCAGTTCAAATTGAAAGACAGAACTGGAGAAATGTACTAGTGTGTTGAACAAAAGACAACTAAGAAAAGAATATGCTCTTTTTTATATGTGAAGATTCTTTGGTTATTACGAATTAATGAAGATGATTGATATCTTCAATTGCGCAGTATCCTTTAGTTTTTGGTCAAAAAAACATGAAACTCCAGTAAAAAATTTGTTCATAATGTGTCAAAAAAGTTACATGCACAGGGTACATATCTCTTACTAATGTGTGTGTCTCGGTGCTTTGTAAACTGTTTAAATTGTGAGAAAAGCAAGAAAATATTTCCGAATTTTAAAATGACTTCAACATAATTAAAATACGACGAATAATGTAAATATAATTTTGGTTGAGTCTCACAATCTTACTGTGATGGTATTTCTTGACTGTCTTAGACATCACTTATTTTACCTCAAAAATGTGTATTTTGGAAAGTTTATTTTAACAATATTGTGTGTAAAGTAATGTTAACCTTTCTATAAGTAATTTTTCTCAATTTAAATAGTAAGAACCTCTCTCAGTACTTATTTTTGTATTTGGTCATCAGTTGTCTTACTTTGTGTTGAAGTTTTTAAACTTCTGTTCTTTTTTCTTGTTTTTATCTGGATTTAAACCATGGCTGGAAAAATTGTGCAGTACTCTTTGGTTTTCAAGCAACATTTTTTTATTTTAAATACATTTTTTTAAAATTGTATTTAATATTTTTACTTAAAATCATTAAGTGATTTATTTGAACTTAATTACTTTAAAAGCAGAAAAAAGTTTATTGAAACATCAGTTTTTAAATTTATCATTAATTGTCATTTTATTTAACAAAATAAAGATACTATATATTTGGGGGGTTCAGTGCAATACCATCCAAACCCATAAAATCTTTAAATTGATTTACTTATAGTTTCGTGCTCTTGAAACTCTCTTGGGTCCACATTATCAAATACTCTTGTGGCACCATCTATTAATGTGATTTAGAAAAAATGCATTCTTCATTCAAGGAAATTTTACCATTTTTTTCTGTGCAATGCTGCCACAATATATTGATTAGTCAAAAAAGCACTTATTGTTGAAAAGGACTGAATTCATCAAAAAACTTATAACAATGTTAGAGAGGTTTTGACATATTGAATTCTACTTAATAGTTATGCTATTAAAAAATATGGGGTATATTGGTTGTTACTTGCACATTTTTCTTTAACTCTTTAACAGTCAGTGGGAAGTATGCTCCCCCCAGAAAATGGAATTTCATCAATATTCACATAAAGAAAGAGGTTAATAATATTAAAACTAGTAAGATTAACTACCATTTTCATTAGTTTTAAAAATCTTAATTTTGTTCTTTAAATGAGTACTAATATAATTTCGTTATTATTAATACTCGTCATCTTTACGATGTACTTTAAGTGGCTTTAGCAGATATTTTAATACAAATTTAGAATTATGGACCTGTTGATGCTTTAAACGTGTTTTTCTCAAAACTAGCTCGTGTTAAGGCGGTATTGCTGCTAAATTAGTTTTTACTTACAGATAATTAAATGCTGGATAAGAACTAATCAATCATCCAAATCTATTTGTATGGAACTAGTGCAAATTGTTCATTGTTCTTGGTTTTGTACGTTTGTTCATTTTATTGTATATTATATTGTATTTTATTGCCTCAAAATAGTTCAAATATGTGAAAAAGTATATAAGAAATATAATGTATTCTCCACATCAACTTTGTAATTGATTTAAGTCTTTTTATCTGAGTAATTTGTATTTTATACATATTTAAAATACAAATATATTTTAAAACATTACAAATAATGAATATTGATTTAAATTATTGATTTTTTAAAAACAAAAGTTATTTAATTTAAATCGTTCCAGCCTTAATTTAAACTGTTTGTAAAATATCTGTGAAACTTATACATTTGTATACAAAACATTGTGGGATGGAATTTTCCAGTATATACATAAATTTATTACTGGAATTTCGTTTTTTTGATAGCCTTAAAAACCCCATGGCGAGGTTTCAAGTCTGTCATTGTATATTGGTAGTGAATAGATGTGGACATGAAGTACAGTTCCTTTTCATTGCAAGTACTCTAGACCACATTTCCATTGCGAATTGACGATTAAAACAACATGGAAGGAAAAAGTATCAATTGATTAATTCCTCTCTTTGAATTAAAGAATTTTTTAATATATTGACTCAACATAAATATTAAGTTTGTTGCATCATATGTAGCTTAGGATACTGTCCTTTCAAAGTAGCTTCTTCTGTTCCTTTTCAAGTGTTTTTCTTGTTTATTTTCTTCTTGTTCTTATATAAATGATTCATTCAGTTTTGATTTATTCCTGAAATTAAATTACACTGTTCCCTATATTTTTACAGAAAGTTTAAGAGAAAATTGTAACTTCTCGTTCTTCAGTGTATTAATATTTTGCTAGAAACCATACGCACGCCAGATAATTTTAGCATCAATATACCGTTTTTTACATCATTCTCACATGCCAAAAAAAACATTGCTGTCTTTTTACATGATAGAAAATGTGCGCATTGAATTGTCAAAAAAACAAGAGAAAAAAACCTCTAAGGGAAAGAATTTATTTTTCTTCACTAACATATTTACCTGCAGATTTTCCTTTTCTTTTCTGTTTATTGTATCACAGAAACAACTTGACTACAGCCAAGCTGAAATTGTCTCTATGGTCAACAACTGGGTGAACTAGATGACCCACATTCAATTCCCAGTTGAGAACAACAAATTCTTTGAACATTTGCGAGTTACTTATTATATACTTGCAATATTCTCAAACTGTTAATGGGAAGTAGTAAGACTTTGTGATAATTATTGGAATTTAAGGTCATTGAATTATCAGATTTTCTATTGTTGACTTTCCAGGAATTGCTATTTTCGTGAGTAGGCCTATTTTTACTTCTCGGAAATTATGGGAGGATTAATAATACACAAAACGATGTTTCAAATGTGCATACATTCTGCAACAACCGCAATCATAAGAGTAAACTTTACCATCAATATTTAATATGGTGGGAATGTATGTGTGGGACTGTTGATATTGATATATTCAAAAACACAAATAAAAATCTATGGACCCAAACCTGGTGTGCGGGTGACAATTGCCCATAGATGGGGCAATTCTTGTCTTGACACTACGGAAATAACTATACTCAGTAGGGCGAATTTACGTAATACGGACAGAGAAGCGGATAATATCGTGTTGGCAATATGAAAAATTAAATTGTAATGAAGCTTCCCATTGAATAAACGCTATCCAGCTGATCACTGTCAAGTCACCGTACGTCCTGAGAGTGCAATCTGTAGCTCCATAATATTGTACTGGGTAATAGTTATTCTCGTGAGGCAACGATACTACCATGCTCGATCAATATTTATTTTTCTTATAATCAGAATTCAGTAGTTTCTTTTAAAATTGATGAGAAAATTTTACCATTGGGGAACTTGCGTCGAGGTCTTACGATAATGCCGAAATGTTACATAAAATTTTATTCAACTTTTCTAATGAACACATTTTTTATAGAACAATTAATGTAGATTATGTACGTATTTAATATACATATTTAATCATTAAATAACTTATACCGAGAAAACATTCGTGTCTTTGTAGTAAATGACATTCTCTAATTCATTGTGTAACCAGAATCCATACCGTGTGTAATAATGACGAACAAATTGTGCACCTAATCCGTTCATAGGATTTTCACCAACATTTATATTCCCCCATTTGATTTGATTTATTTAGTTAAAAACAGTAAAAACTATGTGACGTATGGGAGAGATCATCTGCGCACGTTTTCTCGAGTTCCAGAATCCCTTCCCATCATTTTAACTATTAAATACTTGAAATATTAGTAAATTTTTTTTTAAAGCGCGATATTAGCAAGACTTAAAAAGTAGATATTTTCGTTTCCAAGTCATGGAAAACTTACTTGCAAACAAACTGCAGATTTGATTTTTCTGCATTGCTAACAATGCTCGCTCTTACCTACACTCCCACCACTACGAGCAAAAGGAGAGTTCAACAAAACGTGCGCATAGTGAAGCTGTATTTATGTTCAGAAACAAAACAAAGGGTCATCTCAACATTTGCTCAATGGATCAGGGAAACTGGACAAAAACCTGATCGAGATGGGCGGTCATTGACCCGGAAGCTGAAGTACATTATTTGTTACTAACATATTAAGTCAAAAAATATACAATTCAAATGTAAACTAATTCATTATATATCACTGTTTTGTTAAATCAAACATTTTTCTTTTTGATAATCAGTATAGTCTCTAAATGTATAGAAGCAGTTATGCAGCAGAAAAGATATTACTTTTAACTTATATTTGTGAACCGACTTCAATTGTTTAATGTCATCTGGCAGTGCGTTGTAAAGTAACGTACGTGTATTGTATGTGGACTTCTGATAGTGAGCTGTTGATACTGACACTTGATGAACGGGATATTTACGACGTGTCTTCTTCGATTTCATTTAAATACCCAAGAACACCAGATAATTCAAAAGCAATTAGTTTCGATTTTGACTTAAAAATACAAATATGTGATTTTTTTGCGCCTATTCTAATACTGCTCCAACTGACGTCACTCCGATGCCCAGGATGTTATGTCACGGCGAGGCTACAAGGGAGACAATAAGGAATCTCCAATTTAGCGCGTATCTTACACAATTTTGACGGAAAAAGCAACTGTTCTGTCGGAGATCAAGTCATCAATTATCATTTAGATAATTCTAAGTAAATGTTGGCATTAGCTGTGTTAGTAAGGTGCGATATGAAAATAAAATTAAATTTACGGACGATTTGTATCCACGTGCCCTTTTTACTTTCTCGTACACTGTGATCAAAAGTATCCGGAGACGTCCAAACTGGTGTTAAGATGTGGTGGTGTTTTTCATGAAAGTGGCTTGCACCATTTGTGGTTTCTTGTGGCACTATCACGGCATAGGCCTACACTGATGTTTTAAACTCCTTTTTCCTTTCCACTGTTGAAGAGCAATTCGGGGATGGCGATTGCATCTTTCAACACAATCGAGCACCTGCTCATACCCCACGGGCTCTGGCGGAGTGGTTACGCGACGATAACATCCCTGTAATGGCCTGGCCTGCACAGAGTCCTGTTTTGAATGCCATCGAACACCTTTTGGGATGTTTTGAAACGCCGACTTCGTTCTAGGGCTCAGCGACCTACATCGATACCTCATCGACGACCTCAGTGCAGCACTCGGTAAAGATTGGGCTGCCATTCCCCAATAAACCTTCCAGCACCTAATTGATAATAATTACAATTCGTATATATTTTAATACTTAAAAAATATCTTTTTAAATCAGTTTTCTGTATAATGTTTAAATTTTGTTCGCCTATTTTCAATATTTGACTTAAGTTTAAAAAAATTGTTATCCCTAGTGACTTTGCGTAATAAATCTTACCTTTCCCTGTGTTTATTTTAATGAAATCAACCACTGACAACTGAGATTTTACTTGAGCATGAGAGACTAGCGTACCCATGTGAGTACTCTCGCATTTTAAACCAAACACCTGATTCAGTCGCTTAGAAAATGAAGTAATTATTTTATTTTCAAATCCAATTGCTTATTTTGCACGTCTCTAAACAGGTGGGGTAATGTTGAGAAGTGGAAACCATTAGAAATGTAATAGAATGTCTAAAAAGATCTCGTTATACATATTTCGGTATGAGGAACCTTTCTTTGATGTCTTTGGCCTCCAAAGTTCCAGGTTTTAAGGCCCTTCGTTTTGATATTATACGAG